CTTCTTTAAGCAATATGATTAATAAAATTTAATTTTTCGTACCTATGTGATATGACTGTTTACAAACAGAACGCAGCCAAACTTGTATGTAGCTCGCACTTGAAACATCTTTGTTTTCAACATACCTTCCCTCTAGTATAAATTTTTTCAAATCAATATTTGCGCCAAATTCTCTGTTTATCACATGTACTCCATTCGAGTACAATTTAGCACTCGGTTTTGACTTTAGAAATAATTTTTAAAAATCACCAAAAAGCAATAAGAAAAGAATTGTTCGACAATTCCTATCATCTATTATAATATTTCATTTATTGATATTGTTTCCAATTCTACAAACATTATAAATTAATAATTTAAAACTCTGTCTGTTGCTTATGGTCTTGCCGTTGTCTGTTATTATGATTGTGCAGTTAATTATGTGAATATTTGATCTTTTTACTATCAAGATCCATGTAAGCTTTTTCAATGTCTTCTCTTTTTTGTGTAATATCAGCTGTTAACAAATGGCATCATTTTCTGCAAGTAAACATTCAAAGTCAAATAGACTGACGTAAGTATATATTTCTTTTTTTTTTTAAATGTTATGTGTTAGTACACGCTATAATTGACAAGAAGTATGCAAAAAGAACATGGTAATTAATTTATCTGTTGTAGGCTCTGATTTATTTGACGGGAAATAGTTGCTGTCTTGGGGGACGATAAACTTGCTATTGTCCGAATAGTCAGTAAATAGGTGTTTTATTATACCGAAACCGACTTTACTTTTGTTACGTCATAAACCGGATACGTCACAATACCACAAACCAGATGGTTTTGAGATGATAAATGAGGGAAATGTAGTGCTGCCGGTGTATAGTTTATTGACTATTTCACCATGGGCAAATAGCACAAAAAACTATTCCACAGTAGGGACTGTTTAGAAAAAATAAAAGGTTTATTTGTCATACTTTTATGTAGCGAAAATCCACAGAGGTATAATAATACACGCTATAATTGACAAGAAGTATGCAAAAAGAACATGGTAATTAATTTATCTGTTGTAGGCTCTGATTTATTTGACAATAAAACATTTGAATTCTTTTTCATTCTAAGAAGATATACAACTTACTGAATTATCATTATGTATACTAAGGATGGTTTGTAAAGGAAAAATTGTTATTTTTCTCCTGTACATTATATTACAACTGATATAAGAAAAAATGACAAAAAATGTCAAATCACATTCCTATACATACATCGCTTATTACCCTTTAGAGTAGATGCGATATTAGACAAGATATTTATCTGAGTATCTTTGGGGAATATCTGTAGTCCGCTTATCCACAGAAGAACTTTGTAACCTTGATAGTCCCTGTAAATTTGAATGCATGAAGTATTTATAAAAAATATGCATATATAAGTATTTTAATATTTAAATATTGTAATTCCTCTCTATAACATTTTGTTGTTATTTTTGAATATTACAGACGTAGTTTTTTTTTTTTTTCAACGTGGGACATATTTTCAATTTCATAAGTTCATAATTATACAAGAGGCCCAAGGGCCTTAACGGTCACCTGAGTATAATACAACAATTTAGAGGATCCATAGAGTATAAAATAAACTGATAGATGAAGCTTTGTTGCCCAAAAGCGAGAGAAACAGGATGATCAGAATCAATGAAATAATTAGTCTAGTATTCAGTAACGACTCATACATTAAATTCTAATTTATCCCCCATTTAGCACTATCACCATGCAGACTATTAACAAACTAATAGTTCCTCTGTACTACTTTTAACCCCACATCGCAACCTGTCACATTGGCCTCTCTTGGTCTTTGAAGAACATTTAATAAGTTATTTTTGTCTCTTTTTTTATCTATTTATTATTTACAAGTCTATCTTGTCATGAGCCCTGACTAGGACCAGAACACTTTACCAAATGGTCCTGATGTTCAAAAATCTGGTAAAAATATCCTAGCTTATTAAAACTTTAATTCTGTTCGTCTTCAATATGCCAAGGAGCAGAGAAGATTTTCAAAGAAATAATGCATTTTCACTACAGATTTAACACACCCCTACCCTAACACCCATGTCCCCGGGTCATGAAATTCATAAATTTGGTAGAGGTACCCTCATCATCATCATAACTATGCATTTAGTTGAAGATTTTCAAAGAATTTACACATTTTCATTTTATAAACAAATATAGCCCCCCCCCCCCAAATTTAAAATTTTGTAAGCAGCTCAATTGTTCATCATAACTATGCACTTTATTTATTTGCTCAACACTAAGGAGCAGACAGGATTATTAAACAGAATTAATGCATTTTCACTATATTATCGATAGAGACCCATCCCTACACCAGGCATCTGACTTAGAGGCTATGATTCATGAAGAAGCACTCTTGTTCATCATAACTACACTCTTAGTTTACTTTATAACCAGGAGCAGAAAAGAAGATTTTCAAAGAATTAATGCATTTTCACTATATAATCAATAGAGCCCCCCCCCCTCCCCAACCCTGGGGCCATGAATTTCACGATTTTAGAAAAAGCATCCTTGTGCATCAAAACCATGCGCTTAGTTTGTTTAAATAATACCCAGTAGCAGAGAAGAAGATTTTCAAAGAATTAATGCATTTTCACTGTATAATCAATAGAGCCCCGCCCTAACACCAGAACCCCTGACCCAGGGGCCATGAATTTCACAATTTTGGAAAAGGCATCCTTGTGCACCATTACCATGCACTTAATTTGTTTAAATAATGACCAGGAGCAGAGAAGAAGATTTTCAATGAATTAATGCATTTTCACTGTATAATCAATAGAGCCACGCCCTAACACCAGAACCCCTGACCCTGCGGCCATGAATTTCACAATTTTGGAAAAGGCATCATTGCTTGTCATAATCATGCACTTAGTTTGTTTAAATAATATCAGAAGCAGAGAAGAAGACTTTCAAAAAATAATGCATTTTCACGATATAATCAATAGAGCCCCGCCCTAACACCAGAACCCCTGACCCTGCGGCCATGAATTTCACAATTTTTGAAAAAGCAATCATTGCTTGTCATAATCATGCACTTAGTTTGTTTAAATAATATCAGAAGCAGAGAAGAAGACTTTCAAAAAATAATGCATTTTCACGATATAATCAATAGAGCCCCGCCCTAACACCAGAACCCCTGACCCAGGGGCCATGAATTTCACAATTTTGGAAAAAGCAATCATTGCTTGTCATAATCATGCACTTAGTTTGTTTAAATAACATCCAGGAGCAGAGAAGAAGATTTTCAAAGAATTCATGCTTTTTCACTATATAATCAGTAGAAACACCCCCCCCCTAACCCCAGAACCCCTGACCCAGGGGCCATGAATTTCACAATTTTGTAAGACGCATCATTGCTTGTCATAACCATGCACTTAGTTTGTTTAAATAATACCCAGCAGCAGAGAAGAAGATTTTCAATGAATTAATGCATTTTCACTGTATAATCAATAGAGCCCCGCCCTAACACCAGAAACCCTGACCCAGGGGGCATGAATTTCACAATTTTAGAAAAGACATCATTGCTTGTCATAACCATGCACTTAGTTTGTTTAAATAATACCCAGGAACAGAGAAGAAGATTTTCAAAGAGTTCATGCTTTTTCACTATATAATCAATAGAGCCCCGCCCTAACACCAGAACCCCTGACCCTGGGGCCATGTATTTCACAATTTTGGAAAGGGCACCATTGCTTGTCATAACCATGCACTTAGTTTGTTTAAATAATACCCAGGAGCAGAGAAGAAGATTTTCAAAGATTTCATGCTTTTTCACTATATAATCAATAGAGCCCCACCCTAGCACCAGAACCCCTGACCCTGGGGCCATGAATTTCACAATTTAGGTAGAGGGTCCAATGCTTATTACAATCATGCCAACAGTTTGACTGCTTGATGTCCAGGAGTAAAAGAGAAGATTTTTAAAGATTGCATCAATTTTGGTGGTTTTAGCCCCACCCCTTGGGCCCCAGGGGGGCAGGGACCATGAAATTCACAATTTTTGTTCCCCTTCACCCATAGATGCTATATGCCAAATTTGGTTGAAATTGGTTGAGCGGTTTTAGAGAAGAAGCTGAAAATGTTCAAAAGTTAACGCACGACGGACGACGCACGACGACAGACAAAAACGGATAGCAATAGGTCACCTGAGTGACTCAGGTGACCTAAAAATACCTGTCGAATTTTCGTACAATTTACCTCATAACTGTGATGTGATCGAATTTATGAGTTTGAACTACTTTTTAAGAACTCAGAGTCGCATGCGAATCTGCAGAATGTGGAACCTAATTTTGACTCAGCAGAAATAATTACGACTGCAGACTTCATTTGGGTTTAAATAAAAATAAATAGAGGATAATTATTCAATGTTTTGTAGTTGGATATGGAATTTATTCACGAGTGGGACAATTTTTTTTTATATTTTCAGTGTGAAGCACGAGTAAAAATTAGAAAAAAAAACCTATCTCACGAGTTAAATAAACTTCATATCCAACTAAACAATATCGAATTCTCTGTTTATTACATTTTCTTTGATTTTCCCTTTGCCTCTGTTCATAGACCTAAAGCAAAGCTTTAGGTCTATAACACAGTCTCACGGGCTGTGACGTCATAATTGAGCGGTTGAGACGACATAGCTGAGATTGAAAACATTGTAACGTTGATTTTAGCAACATATTTGGGAAGAAATTGGCAGTTTTAGTCTCTATCAAGACGATTTAGTTACCATCTCTATCTTATGACAGGCCTGATTTTTTTTTACTTACATTGATATCTTTTCACACTGTGAGAGAATATCACTTTGGTATCCTTTCACACTTAGAGAATATCAATTTTATTCAATAAATAAATCATGTATTCACTGTTAAAATGTAATAAACAATATCTATAAGCATATGAATAACAGCCTGAATCGAAAAAAAAAATCTTTAAAAAAAGTTACAAAACAGTTCAACATAAATCGTACCCAATTTTAGGCAATACCTCGACCAAATCTCCTGAAATTGGATCAACTTTAAGTCTATCTCCATAAATTTGGAAAAGGACATCACAAACCTCATTTAAAGACTCTGAAAAAAGTATTAATCCTCCAATCAAAAATAAGCAAGAGATATGGACACTATCTTAAGAAAATAATTAAAGATAGATTTTTCCTTATGCATACAGTATCCCACCTTTTGAAACATCAGCTGGTGTATATTCTACTGGGTTTTGATGCTGCAATAATTCATTCACGAATATCTGAGCTTTTTTAGTACTTCCACAACCAAGATCAAACACTCGACAGGGAATATACAAATGGGACATTACATCCTAAAAAGTTAAACAGAAACATTTTTTTAAAATAGTAAATCTTTTGGAGAATAAAATTCATAATTCATAATAAATGATACTAAATATAAAAAATCATGTCTCCTGTACAAGTAGTTAAGTTGAACATTTCAAAGCTCAATTTTCTCAGTTTTCAGGAAAAATCATATTGAAAAGGTAAATTTGACCAAACCATACCTTTGCACTCGTCTTCAAAATAGCTTCATCTGCCCTGTAATGATAGAATTCCGCGAGTTGACCGCACTGGTCATCATAATACAATCCCAAATGGTCATAACGACAGGAAATATAGGAATTTATTTAGGACTACTGGAAAACCCCTCTTTAAGTTCATTGGCTATATCCATGTCTGTCTGAAATGAAAATAAAGCAACAATAAAGCCTTAAGTAACATTCTTGGATACAGTACTTTCAAAAACTCGACCTTTTATATACATAGATGAATCAAAAAAAATATGCACAGATCATTATAGACTTCACATTATGAATACAAGTCATGTACTTCTGAAGTATAATAGAACTGATGATATATCTTATATCAGTATGAACGGCTACAGTGTATATTATGTTAATTACAAAACCAGGTGTGCTTGAGAAATAGTTGCTTCTCTATACTTTTTCAAATGTACTATGGCGTTTCCCCCTTTTGAGATGGCCCATTGCAAGACAATGAAAGTTGGAGTACAATATGGAGTACACTAGATATCCTTATGAAATTCAGATGAGAATCCTGGGATCTTTTGGCCAAGGCTCAAAATTCTTTTCTTGAATCTTTGATTACTTTTTGGGACTTGAAAAAGGGCTTCGATGAGGTTTTCAAATGTCTGATAGGTATCAGAGTTCTATCATGGCGGATCCTGTTGATGTTTTAATTAAACGTTGACTTATGTTTTGAAGAATTTTAATATTCTTAAAACCGCAAATTCCATTTAGATTATATGAAAATCTAGTGAAGGAAATATTGTACAAGTTTAATTTATAGATAAAATCCTTAGAGAAAGAAATGTGCAAAATTAAGAATACTGTCTTTAAGGCAATGCATTATACATATACATGTAGTAAATGCATTATTGAATAAATTGACGCAAACAATGCACATTTATGTGACTTTTGTAATCAATGATTAATTCATTTTATGATGTCAATATCTCCTGGCAAAAACTAGGGAAATAGTGTCGGGGTCAACAAATAAAGTGTATTGTTGCTCATGACCTGAAAGTGTGCCATGGTCATGACTCAAATATAGTCTCTCAGCTTAAGGTTAATGAACAATGAGATAGTTAAATCACGACATATCATTAGCCATATCGAGCCATAACATTGCTTATTAAATAACGATATTTTATGGGATTTTGTTAAGAAATAAAAGTCATAAAAATATAATCGAACACAAGTGGCGTTTTTTCATAACTTTTAAGCGTTTCTATTCATATGGATAGACAAGGCACAAGTATACAAGAATGCCAGATTCTTAATTTGATGAACGTGTTTTCTTTTTAATATCTCAAAATCCTTAAAAACATCATCTATTTGTTGACCGCTTTAAAAAGTCGGGCGGGAGAGGAGGGGCAGGGTCAAAAATGGATGTCAATGAGCAACGAAAACACATAGAGAAAAATAATACAGCTAGATGTACGATAAAAAAAAATCTAACATAACTTAAATAACAAGAAATCTAACTAACTATAATTAATTGTTATTGTGTTATTCCAGAATTGAGTTAATGTGGATAGTAGGTGTAATCATTTTTTTTAACTACGTAATAAATTTCAATCATGTGTTTGATTGGTTTCTTTTCATTAAACAAATACGGAGGATCTTCATTATTTTCAAAGTCAGTTGATTGTAAAGATATTGCTAAATGTTGAATTTGAATAGAGTATTCGTCAAACTTGAGAAAGTATCACTTATTTCAAGTATCGTGTTTCCTTTGAATAATAAAAGCATTTTCCGATCCATACATTTTTCTTTTGATTGCTGAAACGTAAACATTCATTATCTGCTCATATATTGGTCTGTCACACCTAATTTCAGCCAGCAATCATCGAATCAACAACTTTTAAGATTTAGTGCATGAAAATGTGCACTAAAATTATCATGGTTTAATTATTTCAGGTTTTTATCAGTTTTGAATCAGAACAAGAAATCAAATGCTGCAAATATGTTATCATGTCGGGTTGGTGGTGACCTGGAATTGTGTTCGTATATGTACATGAGAAGACTGCATGTAAAGTTTATTTTCCATCAAAGAATACGCATATATGTGCCTGTGCATGTTTAATATTTTTAATCATTTAAATTATCTTTCACATTATTTATTTATTTAATTTATTTTATTTTTTTAAAACCCAAAACTACATATTGCGTCACCGTTACTGAAAACATTATACGAGATGGCGAATTTGATGACCTCATGTTTCAGAATTTGATAAGCTATTTTGTGCAAAAAAAAGAATCACATAGATTTTAAAGTAACAACAATCATCACCTTTTATCATTTTACAATATATCCGTATAAATGCTTTCAATTTAAAGTATCCCTTTACGCTACACAATGAATGCGATTCTATACAAATTGATGTAGTTTACTATTATAGCAAATTACGCCAAATATTCCCAACAAAAAATAGCTTATATACATATAATTTTTTGAATAGACTTTTTAAAAAGATTTTTGTTTTGTTTTTATCTAGCTTTATTTGTTCTCATAACACAAAAATTGATATTTTACAAAATTTTGTTTAACATTTTCGAAACAAATGTCATACGATGTGATTGTAATTACCTGCAGAAATGACGTCTCACATCATTGTTTACGATTTATTGCAATTAAACAATACAAATCGGTTTCACCAGAATAAAGTAAACATGTAATGAGCTTTTTTTTTCGTTTGTCAGAACGGGCCTCAATCACCTTTTCTACTGAAGATTATTATTTAACCACGTAATAATGAGGCACAAAAGTAATTAAAGGTTCATTTAAGAATGATAAATTTTTATTCAATAAAAATTACAGGAAATATAGCTGCAGTTTCGAAAAAATAAAATTACGTTGAAAATTGTTGAAAAAAGACATAGGGAGTATGACACAATCGCTTCATATCTGGATATTTTACTAGAGAAAGAGTTTGATGGCAAACTAATAACTAAACTTACATGAAACGTGTGATGACTTTACTTTTTCTATCGTCATCTTTCCTTATTATGTAGCTATATATATACCATATTACCTGCATATGGGATTAATATCTTACAATATTAATTGATTCGATACATAATATATACGAATAACAAGGGGTCTCGGTTTTAAGGGTGTCTTCCATCTGTTCCAACTTTTTTTTAAAAAAATCACATGTCCACCTATTCCCGCTTGAAAATAATAACAGATGAGTTGAAAGTCCATTTGTGTTAATAGTTATATTTAGATATGCCTAAAGAATGAGTGCACTTTAGAGTGTCATTTGGAGCCTTTTCGGGCACCCATTTTAAGCCTTAAAATAGACTATATTGCTAAATTAATCTATGATTATTGTGCATACATATGCTTTTGATATTTATACTTCGAATTTTTTGTTAAACATATTGCAATAATTCCACACAACGTCATTGAAAAGAACATGTATAAGCCTTAAATTCCGGAAATTTGAACTGGACCACTTTGAAATCGAATTTAAGGTACCCGCAAATGGGCGGAGATATTTAAATCGCATGGAAGTGGAATGTAAACATTTGCACATTATTTCCAGACTGATTCTACAGTATGAATTTAAATGGAGGAGAGAAAGATTGACTGTGTAGTTTCATGATTCACACAAATAATAAATGATTCATGGCCATACATATTGATAATTTTCGTGATTAGTAACCATATGTTTGATGCCTAGCACCGAATTAGATCAATCTTAAGTTTTCGTATATGATAAAAAATGCCCCCTCTTTTTTCTTTAGCTTTATCATTTTTCGTTTTTTATGCTGAATGCTTTTCAATTCAAAGAATGAATGTATGTTTTAAGAAAGATTCACATGTACATGACTTCGATGTCACACTACATTTAATCGCAATTCACTGTACATGTGGTCAACGAAAATTCTACAACGTTACTATATCGATAATCACTCGCTTATGTCTTCAATATCTCTTTCATTTCGGCAATCCAAATATTGTCAGGTATGATACTAGTGTTTAGGGATGTGTCTGTAGATGCCTGCAGACCATAATACAGAGGCGACATCAGCTAACACAGCTACATACCAATCGTGCACTTGATTTTCATTGGCAGTACCAGAATTTCCTTCAAAATACCAAACCAAAAACACAATTTAGTGAAAGAAGACAAGGTAAACTTTAAGACCCTAATAAAATTTTCGCAAAATTCTTCATTATTTTGAAGTTGTTCAGGCCGGTACAAACGATGAGATTTGTAGTTACTGTATAATACAAGTATTATATTTGTATTATAATACTTTCCTGTACACACGTTTATACGTTTTATTTGATTGTTAATAGACTTTAGGGATTTCTACGTGTTTCCCTCGCAATCTCTCTCTCTCTCTCTCTCTCTCTCTCTCTCTCTCTCTCAATAATGGAAAACGAGGTTCTGTTAGCAGTATCTGTAATCGTATTATGCATTGCATTAAAACTGAAATAAAAACACATCGTAATGGAAACAACGGCGGAACACTCGTATATGTACTTGGTGCACACAATGCATCGCTAGATGAGGTGCAAAGAGAAGACCCCAGTAGTTATAAAAACTTCTTTAGAATATAGATAACGCTGCATTTGAGCAACTTTTACAATTACATGTAGTTACTCCTTTTGATCTTCTTCCCATAAAACAACGAGTTTTTCGATATTTTTACTGCTAAAGTCGACCATTATTTACCACGTGCTTTCTTTTTGTTATGATAAAAATAGGATGACCACAATGTGAGTACTTTTGATTGGTTTAAAAATGAAAGATAAGTTAAGACTTGTATTAAGAAATAGAGCATTGCCCTATTCTTAATACAGTTTTATAAGATTCGAAAAATCTTAGGATTCACCGTATTAAAAGTCTATACAAAGTCAGATTTGGTACTTAAATACATATCCGTGTGTACAGCCCTGAAGTCCATTGATAGACACAATGAAAGCATATCGAACAGTGGAATGTCACGTGAGTAAAGTGATTATAATATCAAACAGGTCAAACTAGGTTGACACTCGGTGACCTGTTAATTTAGTAGCTAACCCGAGCGTAGTTTGGAGAATTTTTTTAAAAAATTACATATGAGCCGCAAATTGTCCAACATTGCCCTTCGGATATGTATAAGTTTAAATCAAAATACACATTCTGTGCAAATGAGAAAAATAGACAAGTTGCGGCTCGATGTAAACAATGTCGTTGAAAACTGGTATGCATATGAATAACAATAGAAATGCGACAAAACTGCTAGACCCCTGCCGCAAAAACCAGTGTCGCTCGGCATTATTTAATATTTTTATGTGATATAATATATCAAACCCTGCTCTTAAGATATTGTTTAATAATTCTCATTCAAAAAGTTTATAAATTTCGGAAATTTATTATTGGCAAAGCACCGGGATCCAACTCTCATAGCTTAAGTGCACTGATCCTTTTGTACAATTTAATACACGTAAGACAGAATATACATCAAATAAATCGATGAAAATGCAATGATTTAATTCACTTAATTTTGTACATTTTCTGACAGGAAATAAATGAATAGATTTAAGAAAAAATATGATGCAATTCTTCCAATTTTTGGCTCTTTGAATACGTACACTTCAAGACAGAAAATAAATTGAATGGATTCAATTTTTTTTTCACTAAATTTACTTAAAAAACTGTATGAAATATGAAGATAACAAACAGTAATCAATCTCAAAAGTCCATTGAAACAATAAAAATTTGGAGCAAAGCAAACACGGACCTCTAAAAAACATTAGAGGTGGGATCAGCTGCCATGGGGGAGTGAACATCTCCTGCCGATCGGTCACACCCGCCGTGTGCTCCTTGTCATGATCGAAAAAAAAACGAAAAAAAAAACGTAGACAATTCAATGTGTAAATAATGGCCTATGTGTACTTAAAAAAGCGGGCTTAATATCTTAGCGGCTGTGGCACAGACAACGGTGCACTAATTCATAATAACCATGAATAAATGAATTTCACAAAGGCCATGCTCGACAGGGGATGCCTACTCCTCCATAGCACCTGATCCTACCTCTGTTTTCAGAAGTTCCTATTTGCTCTGCTCAAAATTTTATTGTTTAAATGGCCTTTTTCGTTAATATCTTCATATTTCTGTTTCTCCTTGTATTTCGTTTATTTAAACCAGAATAATTTACTTCTGGTAATTAGGATTTCATTGTCTCTTTTTCTGTGCATAACGCAGTTGAATATAAAATTTCATGCAATTTAGACGAGACGTTACGTCTACAGGTAATTCCATGCACAAGCATGATGATTCTTTTCTTGCTAAGACTAATCATTCTAAATTATGGTTTCATCATCAAGAAAGGAAACATTATACATGTACATAAGATTATTAGTAAAAGTGACATCTTACATATTGCTTACTATATGGATGACAGAAATCTGTTCCATTAAAGTGTACCTGTGCTGAGCTTTTTTTTTCATTTGTCATAATTTTAAATGGCCTCCGTACCAGTAACTATGCAGGCAAAAACCTCCTTTTCCTCTGTAAATTCAACAAGCCTATTCCAACGTGGGTTGAAAGTTATTACAAGCATTAATTTGTGCACATGTATGAGAGAGATAAGTCAGTCTTTGTTAAATACTATCGCAATCACTGGTTGCTATGTTAAAAATGTAACTTCCGCTTGAAAAAGTGTGTTCGCATTATTAAACGCATCGGCAGAAAATTAAATAAAATTCATAACATATAGGGATGCCAATTATTGTCCATTTTTATACTCGTCATAACTTGCGCTTTAAACAGCAAGTATGTTATTTGATGAGATCGAGGATAACTACGGCTGAGAATATAGCGGAATCTCACTATAATAGTGATATACCACTATTATAGCGGATTTTTACGTTCCCCCCAACCGGTTAGTACTTCAATGGAATGTGGTTCAGCTCTGTTATTATACCTAATGCTGCCCTTTTAGTAAATTATTTTATTAAATAGTGTACCACTTGGAAACACATACGTGAGAGAGGTAAATATGCACTTACCTTTGTGGGTTATATGTCTTGTAAGGACCAAAATATGATTTCAAACATTTATTCATACCACACCACATACATAAAATGCCTAATTGCATATTGCGAAACGGTCGCACTACTTCTTTTTAACCTTTAAATGTCTGACGTAGAAGTTCATTTTCAACTGATGCATTTCTTTGAGATAATAAAAAATGCACTGAAATTGTCTAGGGATTTTTTTCATTTACCCGATCATGAAAAGGTCACACTGCTGGTGTGACCGGTCGACAGGGGATGCTTACTCCTCCCTGGCATAGATCCCACCCTTGTGTCAGAGGAGACACTGTTCGTTATCTTCACAATGTATGTAACTGAAAAATTCATTACCTATGCGATTTAGGGGGAAAATATAAAAAAGTGACTTTTTTCAGTTACTAAGAAAATTCAATTCCATTTACCATGAATTGTAGTGCATTCAATCAAGCACCAGTTCAACAAAACTATTAACATATTAAATGTAAAATATTTGTGAGTTTCCTTTTTATTTGAACAGAGAAGAGATTCACTCCAATGAATAGTGCACATAACTTTGAAGGCTGTATCAAAATGTGTACATATATTCACAACTGTTATTCCTGAAAGATTCATGTATTAAAAGACTGTTAGAAGTTAAAAGAGAAAATAGACATTAATTCTATTTATTATACCTCAATTGATTTTTCCCTATATAAAAAAAAATCGTTAGATTTGAAGATTTGAATAATTCCTTAGAAATCACTATGAATGTGCATTAGTCATGTGAGCTAATCCCTGCTTCGAAAACTATTTCCCGATTATCAAAAATACTCTAGATTTCACTTTTGTATAAGTATATGTGAGTGGACTTATCCCCGTGTTTAGTCAAGTGAGCTGTGTTACAACGCACTTTGAATAATTACGCACTTTGAAATTTTTTTTCAAACTGCGTTAATTTTGGGACAACGTTAACGCACTTTGAAAAAAAAATATTTCTTTTCAAAGTGCGTTAATATCGACCATATTAACGCACTTTGAAAAAAAAATGTGCACGGCTTGGTCAATATTCTTGCAAATTTTAGGTATCATAAAAAAATTACATGTGTTTGAACCTGGTTGGATAACTTTTCGGTGATGACGTCAGGATCTGAGATATAGATGTTTTAAAGATTTTTAGGAGTTGTCTTTTTTCCAAAGGTAACTGTTATAAAAGGGAAATGGGTCTTGGAAATAATGGAGGAATGATTGTTTAATAGCACAGTTTCGTTTCTTTTTTTCTTTTCTTTTTTTAAAATTTTATCCAGTCTCTAATACGTTCGGTAGATGTAGGTGTCGATAAGTGACTTAAAGCATCGCATTTTTCTTAGGGAAAAGGGAGCAATTATGATTTTTTCCATACCATGAAAATTCTCTCTCTCTCTCTCTCTCTCTCTCTCTCTCTCTCTCTCTCTCTCATCTATTTTTCTATCATATTCATCTATCTATCTATTGTGAACATATATGAAACAATGGTTGACTCATTTATTTGAAAGTAAAAAAATAAACCTTAGCCACATTACTCACTCGACTGAAATTTTCACCTCGTTCACTAATAACTTTTTCTAAAAAAAGTTATGCAGTCAGATTACTTCTAAATCTGTAATTTGATATCATAAAAACGCTAGACATGTCAATTAGCATGTTTTAATTCCCATGCAAATGCATTTTTTCCGAGGAATCATTGTGGATACATTTTGAATAAAGGTTATGCGGCTCTCTTCCTTAATATAATAGGGTGCGTATTTTTTTTTTTTTCAGGAAAGCTTATCTCAATTTCTTCATCTATTTTACGTTACCTCAAATTTATTGAGAGAAATAATAATGTCATACCAGTTATGTAAATACTTATATTTATGTAGGAAAGATTGAGTGTTGGGCTGAGGGACTTTCTACCTGTCTTCTCGTTCTCGATTAGGGTAGATCATACATCAGTTTTTCAGAAAAAATATAACAAATTAATGTTGTCTATTATTAAAATCTAAGTCCAGAATTTTTGTTTTATACATATTTTTTCAAAGTGCGTTAAGTGTCTACATGGTAAAAAATGTTGATGTACACTCTTAACGCACTTTGAAAAAATTTTTCAAAGTGCGTTGATTTTGTCCCAATTTTAACGCACTTTGAAAATTTTTTTCAAAGTGCGTTGATTTTGTCCCAATTTTAACGCACTTTGAAAAATTTTTTCAAAGTGCGTAATTTTTTCAAAGTGCGTTGCCACAGAGCTGATCTCTGCTTGAAGGTTATCTGTAATTCTCTAAATTTTACTTTTGTATATCCTCGGGGAAATACATGTAGTCCTGGCCTTGGGGAACTGAAATCTTGCTAAGTCCCTCAATGATATACTTTAATTGTATAATAAAAGATTTTTATATTTGTTTTACCTTCGGACTAGAAGGACGCGCTGCCATTGAATAACGGACGTTATGTGCCTGAATGCCGTCCATATTTCTGTGGAATGGTGGATAAAACAATGTTGTGTCACCCATACTTGCAAAAAAGAATGGATTGTGTTATCAACTGATATGTATTTATGTCCATACAATGCTTGACAGCTCCTCTTTTCCGTGACATAATAACTGAACAATAAGTGAACAGGTGAAGGAGACATGCATAAACGTGAAAATCCTTTAGTTGTAATTGATCATAAGGTATACCGCTCCAGTAAACATTACGTCGATTTATGGTTTCTTTTGCAGCTGTTCTCTATACTGCGATAAAATCCATATATTTCAAATTTATGCAGATTAAATTTTGAATTTTTTATTAAAATTTAAAAAAAAAACTGTCAAATTTACTGCTCCAGTAATGGTGCCCTCTTTTAGGGATTTTGTACTGTATCAACTGAAGGGGAATATTACCAGGCTCCAAGACCATAAACTGAGAATAGACTTAAGTCAAAATTTAGATTTTGAATATTTTAATTATTATTTAGCGAGCATGCTTAAAAACTTGCAAGTTTGTTAAATATTTTAATACAAACATAAATTGAAAATTTTGTATCATTTTGATATTTATTTCAAAAGTTACATTGATTTGAAATTTTGACTTAAGTCTGTTCTCAGTTTATTGTCTTGGGGCCAGTTCTAGGACAAGCGATCGTGAGACCCACAGAGATTTTTTTTCAGATTTTATTTACATCATAAACACATATATAGGTACAATAAATGGATGTCCGTTTTGACCGTTTTCTTACCATTTGGCCCTCATAATATTTATGTATACACAATCTACAAATTGCGTATTTTATAACTATTACAATGCTGATATTAGTTAAACGTACATGTATAGTTAAATGTATAGTTTCCCTGCAGTTAAGACGGTCTTATCATGTTTTAGAAAATACCCAGACACTTTTTTTTTACATTTCTTTTACGTTCACAGGCCCGTAGGAAGCAATTTCACTTTGAGGGGGCACAACCATACATTTTCAGTTGGGGGGGGGGGGCACTATCAACTACCAAAATTTCTTGACAAGCAAAAAAACAAAAAAAGGTCATCAGACGTTATTATTGAGGGACACAAGTGTATAGTAGCAATGTTTTCTATAGTATTTTATATATTATTCGAGAAACAAGTAACTGTGCTTAAAAATATTCATGTCTCCAGCGAGATTTAATAAAATAAAACATTTTATACCAAATGGTAGTTTTAACATTTAAACGTTTTATTATAGAGTTTGATTTAACATTAGAATTCTATATGGAAGAATGGAAGAAAAACCCCAAGGGGCGGTGGGTATAAAGGATAATTAGCTTTCTCTACATGTACCTAAAATGACAACAATATACATATACCCATCACCTTGTAAATTCCTTCATTATAAAACTCGGTTAAGGGGAAATTTTATGAAATTTACAAATAGTCACTTACCTTGCAATATTCGTGTATACATATCCAAGTACATAACATGAAAACTCGAATATCTAAAAAAAAAAATACAAAATAAAGCTGCCTGATTTATAAAACAACTGATATATCATTGTTATTTATAATTTATTTCTAAACTCTTTTTTATTGTGACTGCCGAAAAATCCACTGATCACGGAAATTCGGGTCGATTAAAAATAAAATCCACGGGTATTATGTGTACCAATTAAAAAAAATAAGCATTTAATATAACAAATTTAAACTCAATTTATTCTCGGGTGTATTTTAGACATTATTGATAAAAGATAAAAGCATAACAAGTTTTCAGTTTCCTGCCCGTGGAGCCCATGGTCGCTGTCGTAAATGACCTTGATCACATTCGCACATTGCAAATGGGAAGTTTTAGATTTAAATATTCCAATATATTTTAAGTGGTGCATCCGATGCACCATATAAATTAAGTATTTATTTCTTTATACAAAAGAAAGTCAATTATGCTTTTTAACACCACCGACAAATATTGAAATTTAATGCTTGCGTTTTTGAAATGCGCCCCCCTCTCATTAATTTCTAATCCTGCGTTCGTAAATGCATGTGAATTATACTCATATTTTTCAACTATTAATCAACCAATGCTATGTGTTAGAAGACTTTAATGACACACAACTTTGATTAAAATTATTTAATACAGTCTGGTAATAAATAGACAAGAGCAGATTCCTGATAAAATTTCGTTTGTTGCTTTCTTTGGAAAATAAAATAAAAAAGATATGATCACTCCGATTGTGCATTAAAATCAATTCATTAAAAATGTTGCACATATACTGTTATTACATGTAATTAGTTTGAATAAATTTCCTGTCCATCTTTAGTTTTGAGAGAAAAATAAAGAAAAACAAATTAAATATACATTACCGTGTAATTTTGCTGCTCTCATACTTTTTTTTTAAATTTCACTCTTAAAATACATCCAGTATAATATCTCCGAATAATATTAGCTATAAATAACACTATTTGACATCCTGACCCATCGATAGCCATATTTAAAATGAAATGACTTCCGAAAGAATCCTACACGTTTCTCACACGATTCTTGCACGATAGTCGCACGTTTCTCACACGGTTCTTACACGAAAGTCGCACGTTTCTCACACGCTTCTCGCACGCTCGCTACACGGTTTGCACGAAACGCTTT